GTCTTCTCCGCCCGCTTTCGCACGGAGCCATCTTCTCATCTTCCTTTTTTTCCCCATTGTTCTGGCATTTCTCATACTGGAAACTCCTGCGTTGCAGAGCAATTAGAGGGCCTTATAAAAGTCCCCTGGAAGCTTGCTTAAGCAGCGCTTTGTTTTCAGCCAGCAGCCTTTGTGTTTCTCCCCCTGTGTTTTATTTTTGACTCATCCTTTCATTGTCCTTTTCTTTCCCTGAAGTCAGTAATTCTTTCAGGTTAACGTCTGTCTCCAGTGTCCCAGCAAGCACTGAGAAGATGACTTACCGTTTCAAAATAGGAAACGCTCAGTTATTACGGCCGCTGTGTGAGTCTAACGCGTCCGCCTTGAAGTCCCCAGGACAGAGTCTGTGCACTTTGTCCTCCCTAGATACAGATTTTTTTCCTGACGTATCCCAGACGCTTTTAAGAAAATACGGTCGATATGTTCCGACACAGACCCCACAGCTGTCCCTTCTGTACAGCCTCTGTGTAGTGCATACGGCACTCGTTTGCTGTCACGTGGGTGCCAAGTGCTTTGCACGGGCAGCATGGTGTTAGCACCGTAGGATGTCTCCACACAGTTCGCAGACCCCCTTTTGAAGTTTGTTGTGGCTGAAGACGCAGAAAAAGCGATGGGTGCCAACGTCTTGCAGGAGTCCTATCCCTTCTTTGGGGTTTTTGCCCCTTTATTCTACCTGACGAGCTCGGGAGCTTCCAGCCTCTGTGTACTGCTCTTGAGCACGCAGCTTTCATTGCAGTTATCCGTAGGATCCCGCTGAAGCCTGGGGGCTGGCCGAGTCAATGTATTCCCAGCCACGCGTTGGCATAAAGGAGCTTGAGGTGCCCCAAGGTTTCTGGCCTTTGGTGATTGACGGGTTTCAGAAGCGCTTGCTTGATTTAGGAAACCTGGTCCCCCGCACGGTCTCTTAATTCCCAGTGTGATGCTGACCATGATGGGGAGACCTGCAGTCGGCATCTCCATCAGGAGAGAGAGGGATGGGTAGAAAACTGGAGTAATTCGTGGTTTATTTTGAATCTCCAAAAACATTGGAAGGCTTTTCTCAGAAAACCTCTGGTAGAGGAGACTTTGTCTGTAGAAGCTGTGCTTTTCCTCTTCACTAGAAGATCATTCTATGATTCTAACAGTGTGAGTGCTAAACCCTTTCCTCTTCCAGCTGTTTGCAGATGATCAGGAAAACGTTTTCCACTTCAGCGCGTTAGTGCTATGATCTTGCTTGCTCCAGGCTTTCAGAAAACAAGTGGTAATTCTGAGCTCCTGGAATGCCATGGAAAACGTCAGTGCGCCATTGCTCAGCTTGTCGCTGTTGGGTTTCCTTCACCTGAGAGGTGATTTACTGTTCCTTTGAATATCCTGGTCCTTCCAGCAGTAAGCAGTATCACTTAGTCACTTTTTGGAGTTCTTGCTCAATTAAGAAGTCGGGCAGATAGAAGGATGGTGGCCACACCGTTGGCAAGGCAGCATAAGAAAGAGACGTGAACAAGAAGCTCGCGAGTCTCCTTCGCCTTGAGGTTTGGCACCAGCTCGGGAGAAGTCAGAACACGTTTGCCCAGCTCGGAGACCGGGGAACTTAATTAGGCCGTCGTCAGATACTTAATTCTCATGTAGTGTTTCCTGCACGGGAGCTTCCTTCAGGCGTTGATGGCAGAGGAGTGCAGTTCACTCAGCTCTTTTTTTATTTAATATTTTTATTTCAGACACCGTCATGTGTGCGGCTGCCAGGAAAAGGTCTGTTCTCTTTTCAGACAGCCCTACCGATGTTTGCCTTGAAGATCTTCCCTCCTTCGCAAAGACTTCTTGTAGCTTTTTTTTTTCCCCCCAGGTGGTTTGCCCTCGCTGCCTCACACGGGCCTTTCAGGCGGCGGGTTCCCATGCGATAAGAACATTTTTCCTGGGAGGACTTTGTCCCACCCAGGAAAAACCCTGCTCGCTCAAGGCATCTTGCGGCCTTTGACCAGCAGAGGGATCCCGAGCCCTGCAAGAAAGGGAAGAGTCCTCTGCCATAGCTCTGAAGCAAATTTCGAAAAATTACAGGCAAGGAAACGGCGTCTAAAGGTTTAAATTGGTTGCTGTCAACGCTTGCAGTTTGCTGCCTATACGACGCGGCATTGCCTGTTCCCCGTACCTGCTGCTGGGTACTCAGCGGCTCTCTTAGTGTGGATGAAAATCTTCAGGGCATTTGTGAAAGCACAGGATTTTTTTAAAGTATTTATTTATTGTTTTTAATTGATTGTTATTTATTTACCTGTATTTAACAGTGACTTGGTTTTTATATCCAAAATTTTTGTACTTGCTTCTTGCTGCCTTTTTCTCATCTAATTTTGGTTTAATTCTGTCCCCACCCCCAGTATGCTGCTTTTAAATCAGTGCTTTGCACGGCAGCAGGATAGGTGGGAAAAAAACCTGAGGATGGAGGATAAGGTAATTAGGAACAGCAAGTTAGCAAGCGGTGGAATTGACAATTTGTCCATTTTAGACAGCTTCGACACAGAGTGAGGAACAGAAGTTGTTACAGTCTGTTCCTTGCCGAATCTGTAGCTGATCCTAACCATACAACGGTGCCGTGCTAAGGAGCCACGCTCGAACACGTCCCCGGCTGCGTTATTTTTGGGGGCAGCTCGCTTAGCTTAGCTGAACCATGTCAGAAACTCAGCTCGGTGGACGAGGAGTAATTAGAAGTAAAACGGCGTGCACAGGTTGTAAATGAATCCCTCGGCCGCTTTATTTCCATCGTGTGAAACACCCTTGTTTTTATGACTTGCAGGAGGGCTCACAAACGGGAGCGGCCGTTACATCTCTGCTGCTCCTGGAGCTGAAGCCAAGTACCGCAGCGCAAGCAGTGCCTCCAGCCTCTTCAGCCCCAGCAGCACTCTCTTCCCTTCGTCTCGCTTGCGCTATGGCATGTCTGATGTTATGCCCTCTGGCCGAAGCAGGCTGCTTGAAGACTTTCGCAATAACCGGTACCCTAATTTACAGCTGAGGGAGATTGCTGGTCACATCATGGAGTTCTCCCAAGATCAGCATGGATCCAGGTGGGATTAAAAACCTTGCGCTATGGGAAGCTTTTGGGACAGCTGCTCTTTGAGTTAGCGTCATTTGCAATTTGCATCACGTCCTGAAGCGGGGGCGGAACAGGGGAAAACGAGGTGCGAAAAGCCAAGTAGCGCAACGTTCTGACCCTTCTTTCTAAAGAACGTCTGGGTACAAATGCTGATAGCGGGTGTCCCTTCTCTGAAGAGGAGCTTGCTTGTCCCACTGGCGTAGCTTAACTCACTTTAAAGAGCCACCTGGACGTGAGACCTTGCTGTATTATTCTATTGGGATCTGCTTTGCTTGGCGTGAGGAGATTTTTGGGGTACCAACGATGACATGGCCATGGACCTCGTGGCTGTGGCCACCCGAGGTTTCAGATAGCTGGATAGGGCAACGGTGTTTTAAAGGTTTGTGTTTGCAAGAGCTCAGTGCATGAAGCTTTTGAATGGGTTTGTATTAACAGACGTGTTGCGGGCACACATGCCGGTGGCGTCACACCAGCCCTGTTTTTCAGGTTTATTCAGCTGAAACTGGAGCGAGCTACCCCAGCAGAACGTCAGCTTGTGTTCAACGAGATCCTCCAGGCAGCTTATCAGTTGATGGTCGATGTATTTGGAAATTACGTCATCCAGAAGTTCTTTGAAGTAAGTCTGCGTTCCTCTGCAAGTCTTACTCGGATGCTTTCTGTCCTGAGGTATCGGATGAGCTCGTAGCAGCCCTGCTGTTTGGCTGACGCGCTGGGTAACTCAACGCTGCTGTCATCTCCTCCCCACAGGCTGCTGCATCGCTCCTCTTGGGGTGGCTGAGGTGTGGGACTCATAAAGATTCGTCTGCAAAGTAACGCTTTGCTTTGAGGTGCAAAAGGTGTAGGAACAAATAGCAACATACCCGGGGGATGTAGGTCCAACAAGACTTTGCAGGGATTCTGTGCTGAGCTGTCGGTGCTCACATATTGAGGAACAAAAGCAGCTCTTCCAGTGAAGAGCATCCACTGGCAGAAAGTGTTGTGTTTTCATACCAGGAGGTTGGGCCAGGTGCCCATCTTTCCTTCTTGAAACTGGTCTGTTCCTTCTGCACCAAGCCTTGGTGGTTCCTTTATGCAGTAATTTTATAGCAACCCTGTCGAGGGTTAGTGAACTGGCACGTGTCACCCCGGTGGCTCCAGCACCTCTGACTTTGGAGGCTGTTTCACGTGTAGCCACGTCTGACGGACACGGAACAGACGTCTGGCTTGTGCCTGTGCACATCCATTGAGGTGGGGTTGGTATTTTCTTTCTTTTCAGTAGGCGCAGTGTTTCTTGTTTAACACTTCAGCGTGGCAGCGTGGGAGGGCTGCGGTGCCGCTTGGCCACGTGAGGGTTTGGTGCTTGTAGTGATTGGTTTTCATCTTCCCAGTTTGGCAGCCTGGAACAGAAGTTAGCCTTGGCAGAACGTATCCGTGGGCACGTTCTGTCCCTGGCTCTGCAGATGTACGGCTGCAGGGTGATCCAGAAGGCCCTCGAGTTTATTCCCTCAGACCAGCAGGTAATTGTAAGTTTCAATTTTAACTTTCTTCTTGATGTTTAACGTTCCTTGCGGTTTGGTGACCTGAACTGCGACCTTCTGTTCCTCTTGTGGCTGGTGTTCTTTTGGTTTGGTTTATGGCATGTTTGTTACGTTCTATGTGCATGATCAGCTTGTGACACCGTTCTTGGGTGTCGTCGTTATCTCCTTGTTCCACTTAACTGATAATGGTTCTCTGTTAATTCCCTGAAATCAGATTACGTACGTAGGGGAAACTGAGAACAATAGTGAATTAGAAGATACTTCTAAATCCCTTGAAGGAAGCAGTGCCAGAGTTTTGCCTTTAATATTCGCCGAGATCTCACTGCTTTGATATGTGGGTCAATATTCTGCTTTCCTGCAGAGATGTATGAGGAGCTCCTGGTTCCTGTTGAGCCAGGCCTGGCGTTGGAGAGATGTGGATGATAGCCCCAGTCCCACTCCAAGCTCATTAATAAAGGAATTCCTCTAGGGTTTTATGAACAATGAATTAAGATGAAAAATACGCTAGGCAAGCTAGCTAATAAAGGTGTTAGGGATCGTAATACAAGAATCTCTGTGTAGGTTATTAAATTAAAAAACTGAAGCAGGCTTTAGGAATGCACCTTCCCTTTAGGTCGAGCCTGGGCTAAGCTGCTGACCTGTCAGCAGGGTGGGGGGTGGCCCAAACTCTGGCACTTCTGGTCTGAGGATTTACCAATTGTCTTCTTCCAGAACGGTATTTCTCAGTACGCTGTCCTCCTGAAATGCCTGGTTTTGTATCAGTTGCAAAACTGAATTCATCCGGTTTTGTGGTGTCACTAAGTAATTCCCCAAACCTGTCACTCTCTGTTTTCCAGTTGTGAATCCTTCAGCCTGCATGCCTGTTGCTTGATCCATATCTAAACCTTGTCGTCTTGGTTTCCTTGTATTATCACACAATATTACCTTGCCTATGGAAAGTACCAGCAAGTTCTTATCCCAGTGCTGACCCCATTTTAGTGGCATATGAATTTGATACCTGAAAAGTTTGTGAAGTTTGGGTGTTTTAAATTTCTTTCTTTTTCAGGGGAGCAGAGGAAGGAACGGGGGATGCACAGTAAAGTTGTGTATCAGTAAAATTTCTTAAATTTGGATACTTGTAAGAGGACACTCATGTTTAATGAAATGAGCGTTTCATCTTCATTTCGCAATAGTATTTTTCTTGGTGGTTTGTGTAGCACAGCAGGCTTCATCTTAGCCACTGGAAAACTTGGCCGCTGGCAAACTTCCAGTTTGAAACACATCAGTGCATCCCTCGTACCTTTCATATTCTTTACCGCGTTTAGCAGTGAAAGCTTCGCATTTATCAGCCGTGAATCCTGGTGGTGCTTTCTGTTTGTCTTTCTCTCCCTAATAGAATGAGATGGTACGGGAGTTGGATGGCCACGTCCTGAAGTGCGTGAAAGACCAGAATGGTAATCACGTGGTGCAGAAGTGTATTGAGTGTGTGCAGCCTCAGTCCCTGCAGTTTATCATCGATGCGTTTAAGGGACAGGTAAGTCCTTAACCAAGATACCGACTCCCATTCTTTGTATTCTTACGTGTTGCTTTGAATAGCGTGATAGTGGCTGTAATTTGTTCAGAGAGTTTGAATTTTACATTTTAGCAAGCATCAGTTGAAAGCGGTAGGGAGCCTAGAAACTCTTTGGTCGTGTCTCTGTTATCATTTTTGTGCAGGTATATCACAGTAAAGCATCCTTGCAAAAATCTGTTTTCCTGGAACGTCAAGTATTTCTTGACTGATGGAGGGGAAAGCAAGTCTCTCCTCAATCCATCTTCATAGTAAAGGTGGTGAGCAGAGTTTTGTGATGGGTGTAGCAAACTTTCATTATCACCCTCTCTGTGAGGATGGCTTAGGGGACTGCGGTTTCCCAAGGGTCTTGGACCAGGGGAAGAACATGAGCTTCATCTAGAAAAGGGCAGTTACTTGTGTTGCGTTCTCCCAGTTTTTTCTTGGTATCCGCTCCTGAATTGATGTCCTGGTTATTAATTTTGTTAGCTGGCTTTATTCTGCCTGTAGTCAGCTTGTCTTCCATTACAAAAGCGCTGGTTTGGGCGTTTCCAGCTTCAACTTAATTGACTTTGGAGGGGGACTTTGAAGTATTGAGGGTTTTGCCACAGGGATGTGAGGATAGCCCGGGGTTTTTATAGCAGGAACCAGGCTTTATTAGTTTGGCTGCTCCTGGAACAGCTGTGAAAGCAGGGACTTGCTTGGCTATGTCAAAACAAGCAGGATTCTAGCTGGAAACTTGCTCAGCAGATTTGCTGGTTAAAGTTTAGCTTTGGACCTTTCACTAGGGAGTTAGGTGAGGCAGAAATACCTCTGGCAGCTTGGTTGATGGCACTGACATTTCTTTGACCAGCTGTCCCAGTTTGATCTGAACTTTCATATGAAAGATTAAACTTACCACCTCCAGACTCTTTTTCTGCACTTGTATGATAATTGCACTTCAAGTCCTGTTTTCCTGCACAGTTTATTCAGTAGTTATTAAAAATTTGTAGACTGCCAATTTAACTTCAGTGCTTGGATTTGTTACTTTTGTTAATTTTCAAGACCAAATAGGACTTTGTGCTTTAGACAGAAAACCGTGTAGCGGTAATAAAACGTGTCATGTTCTTACCCACAGATTTGGTAATCCATTAGAAATGAGAAAGGAAGTTCTTTGTTGTTGCTTCTCCTAAGCGCAGTTAAGGATTTTAAACAAATCCAAATAGTTGAGGAAAATCCTTTGCTGAGCATTTTTAACCTTTCTGGTTCGTGCCATTTCTTACATCGCTTAAGATCCATAGCTGGCAAACAGTATGCTGGGTTTATTCTTCTGAAACGGTGTTTTGACACAGCTTCTAATAATGCTTGGCTGTCCCAGTGTTCTTTTTATTAATCAAGAGGCTTTACCATTTGTTTTCCTCTTTCATGAACGGGGAAGCTGAAGCACAGGTAGGGATGTGACGCGCCTGCCATCACCCAGTTAGTCCTGTGGCAGCGGGGAGCAGATGTTTCCAGTTTCAGTTTACGCTGTCTGGAGCTGCCGTGCTGCAAGCTGGCATTACCTGCCATGCCTGGGAAAAACCACCATGTGTTCATTTAATTCCGAAAGGTTCTGGGATTGACGAAGACTTAACAGATGCGTTGCTGCCTGTGCTTGCCTGTCTTTGTTGAATGCAGGTTTTTGCGTTGTCTACGCATCCATATGGCTGTCGTGTGATCCAGCGGATCCTCGAGCACTGTCTTCCTGAGCAGACCCTTCCCATCTTGGAGGAACTTCACCAACACACCGAGCAGCTTGTTCAGGTCAGTGTGGGAGGGGGGAACGTGGGGGCTGCGAGATGTTTCTCGGTTACTGCTTTGTATTAGGAATGCTGCTGGCAGCCTGCTTGGGGCTGCAGCTGTAGTGCTGCTGGGGTCGTCCGAACGCAGGGGCTCTGCTCCTGAGGAGCAGTGGGAAGGAACATGGCAGGCGAGAAGGGCATCGCCGCTCGTTGTTTTGGCGATGTGCGAACATCCAGCAGGTGTCGAAGGTGTAGTTACTTGCCTTTTTGAAAAGGACCTTAAGTATTGAGCGGGTGCGTGTCCTAATGCGTCTCTCCAGAAGTTACAGTTGCAGGTAAGATCTTAAGGGAGTTGATGTGAAGAGCTGATTTACTTCTAGGAAAAGAAAATGCCGGGTAACTGGGGTTCTTAAAATGTGTTGGGTTTGTGCCCACCCCCTTCCTGGCTCCCTTTCCTCTTCCTTGCAGTCCTTCTGAGAACATGCTTTTCTAGGATTCTGGTGTCGGGGCACGATGGATATAACAGCAAATGATCCCTGTCCTGTATGCTGACGTATTTAGCACGTGGAAAGTGGGAAGAGGTTGGGCATGGAGGTGAGGCATCGGGTCATGCCTCCGGTATTGTGAACGGGATAAATAAGTATCTTGTGATCTGAATATACACACGTTCAGAATATGAACATGCATAAGGACAGTCTCCCGTAGCTAGAACCATGGTGCAGCCCTCCAGGACATGTGGTTTGGTATTTTTGAACCTGGAGAAAGCAAAGAAACTCGAAGTAAGCAGAATATTGACATTTCATGTTCAAGGAAGTTGTTTTGAGTTTTATAATTGGTACAGAGATGTAGTATTTTACCTCCTGGTAGAACTCTAGAACGCACGTTTTTGTAGAAGTAGAAAGTATTTACATGATTTATACAATAGATATTTTGATTAGTGTGTAGTTGAAGTTTGTAAGTCTTAATGCGCATTGGGAACTAGTTTGCTATTAATGGTTCCTCTCCACGTTTTGTCACACGCTTCTGCTGTCTCTCAAACAGGATCAGTATGGGAACTATGTTATCCAGCATGTACTAGAACATGGTCGGCCTGAGGATAAGAGCAAGATTGTAGCAGAAATTAGAGGCAACGTGCTCGTGTTGAGTCAACATAAATTTGCTAGGTATGAATCTGTTCCTTAAAGTCTCCACGCCCCGTGGGAGCATGGACACATGCTAGAGTTGCAGAAGAGTTAGGGGTGGGGTGTAGGTAGGTGAAAGGAGGTGAGAATAACTTTTTGCTTAACAACAGAGTGCTATTTATAACTGCCTGTAAACCGGGATGAGTGACTGGCAAGGTAAGTTTTACTTGGAATGAAGGAGGATGAAGATGTGGAAGAGTAGCTCTAATCCAAGTTCCTGACCTTGACCAAGAATTTCTGTGTCTGTTGGGGTTTTTTTGTTTTGTTTTGGTGTTTTTTTTAAGTGGTCACTATCCCTTGGATAGTAACATGCCATAAGGGCATTTCACGTGGGAGCATGGACACATGCTAGAGTTGCAGAAGAGTTAGGGGTGGGGTGTAGGTAGGTGAAAGGAGGTGAGAATAACTTTTTGCTTAACAACAGAGTGCTATTTATAACTGCCTGTAAACCGGGATGAGTGACTGGCAAGGTAAGTTTTACTTGGAATGAAGGAGGATGAAGATGTGGAAGAGTAGCTCTAATCCAAGTTCCTGACCTTGACCAAGAATTTCTGTGTCTGTTGGGTTTTTTTTGTTTTGTTTTGGTGGTTTTTTAAGTGGTCACTATCCCTTGGATAGTAACATGCCGTAAGAGCATTTCACTGCCTCTGGGATCCTGTGTCAAGCCACAGGGGAGTTTGGGAAATCAATGTAGCAACAATTCTTTTTCATCCCACCTTTCACAGAACAGTCTGTGCTTTTTATATGCTAAGTCTTGCAGTCCTTTTCGAGACACACGTGTAATGATATTCTCTTAGGGAAGATGCAGCAGTCCGAGGTTGTTAGTCCAGACGCTACAGAGCTACACATGGGTAGAGGCAAAATCCGGGTACCTTGGTGGATGTCAAGACAAAGTAATACTTCCCACACTTGTAAATTCCTTTTGTGTGTGTTTCTAGCCATTTGGACATGAAGGCTGAGCTCTTCAAAGGCTTAATATTCTCACCTTTTTATGATCAGTAAAAGAGTGCTTTAATGCTTACGGACACAAGGGAAGTGTAACATTAACAAGAATTAGGAGAGCGTGGTCTTAATGTTGTTATTTCAGATTCTTCCTCCCTGACTTGCCTTGCTCTTTTTTCTAAACTTCTTTCCAGATGGAGCGTTAATTAGCGCAGGATGTCCCCTGAGCTGAGCACTAGTTGTGGCAAACCACTTGGTGATTTTATGATTCAGTCAGGGATGCAGAAGATAAGACTAGCAAAACTCTCCGTCCCCTTTCATATATCCTATTTAGCTTGGCTCTCTGGAGAGCAGAGACTAGTCATCTAATATATTCAGGAATTTTGGAAGCTCTCTGCCTTCGTAAGATCTTTCGTTCCTGAATAAGCATTTCCCTGTTGTTCTAACCTTGGACCTCTGTTCCTGTTGAGCTCCAGTACTGAGGAAACCAAACAAAGAACAACTCATCTGCTTCTCTGATGGCCACGCTATGAGAACAGACGCTGATCTCAAATACAGCATCATTGTAGAGTTGCACCAGTTTGGGTGAAATAAAACCTGAACTGGTCCTTTACCTGAATTCCCACTCCGCTCCCAAGTTCCTCGGACTGCTCTTCTGTTTCACATTGCTGAACTTCTGTGCCAGCACAGATGTCTCTCCCAAACGGTCCGCCCTTGCTAGAAGCATAAGAGATCCCCTTGGGGTTGAACGGAAAGCCCAGCAGAGACGTTGCGTGCTCACAGATCGTCCTTCTTTTCTTGTTACAGCAACGTGGTGGAGAAATGTGTTACTCACGCCTCCCGTACGGAGCGTGCCATGTTGATCGATGAGGTGTGCACTATGAACGATGGCCCTCACAGTGCCTTATACACCATGATGAAAGATCAGTACGCCAACTACGTGGTGCAGAAGATGATCGATGTGGCAGAACCAGGTCAGCGGAAGATTGTCATGCACAAGGTAAGCAGCTGCCGTCGATTGATAAGGATGTAAGGCTTGTCACTGCCACACTGGTTGTGGGGAGCAAATAAGGCTGAGAGGATTGCTTTTGCCATTAGAATTTCCCAGCGACGGAGGTATTTCGAAGTTGCGTATCTCAGTAGTAGCCGAAATAGGAAAATGTGAAATAATGAGATGCCACTTGGACTTAAAACTAGCTGGTTGCTTCTAGCAGTCTCTTCTGACCTAGTAACCTAGTTCTGCGCTTGTGGCGTAGCAAACGCTGCTAAAAACCGCCAAGGCTTTACCGCTGCAGCGCCGTCGGGTTGATGCCTTGCTAGGGAGCCTCTGAAGGTCTGGCGATGACGACACCCTTGCCCTCACCGAGAACAGCGTTCGCTGACGAGAGCGGTTTCACGCGCTCAGCGGAG